CCAGGGAGGGAAGAGGGGGAGGAGGAGGCGGAGGCGGAGGCGGAGGCGGAAGAGGAGGAGGATGAGGATAAGGAGGAGGAGGAGGAGGAGGAGGCGGAGGAGGAGGAGGAGGAGGAGGAGGAGGAGGAGGAGGAGGAGGAGGAGGAGGAGGAGGAGGAGGAGCGAGAAGAAGGCAAAGAGTCACGTCCCACACCCCTGAGGCGCCTGTCCTGCCAGTGCAGCTAGCTCGGGTTGCCGAGCGATGATCTGGCGGAGACGCGCCTGACCTATCTCGGACAATCGACCCCCACGATTCCGATGGGTATGGTAGGCATGGAAACACATATCAAAGAAGAGGGAAATGGAGACCAAAGCTTCGTTTGGCATCGGGAAGAATCGAAACACCTGGATGCGAGAAAGACAGTCGGCGAGACAAAAGGCGGCGGGAAGAGAGGGCAGGCAAATCCCAAGATGATCGAAATGCGGGCATTCGACAATGTGGTGGAGCGTATCACCACCAGGAAGGGAACACAACGGGCAAGACTTCGTCTGCTGCCGAAGCCGCCCCGTCGTGCACCAGGCATTGCAAACGGTTTTGAGAAACGAAGAGAGGACGGAAGGAGGAACGAGCGGGGAGGCCCCCTGGAAGGCCGTCGCAACTAAACCAATAGCAGGGCAAGACAAATCAGAGCAGTGCTTCCGCAAGCGAGAGGCGATGGAGGGCATCACGGGTCGAGGAAACAGGCGCCGAAGTACCGCTTCAGCGCGTCTCTGGAGAGGGGTCGCATCGGGGATCACGCCAGGAAGGCGAGACATGTTTTCGTAGTTGCGAAGCATGCCTCCCGGAATGCTCTCCTTCCACCAGGGATGCTCGCGCCGCAGAATACCGCAGTCATCATCATCGTCAAACTCAGCGAGCGCCTCAGTCTACGGCAAGAAGGACGGCGAATAACATGCGGCGCGGTATCTTGCAGCCTGACTGGTGAGCTCAATGGACTTCGCATCGAGCGGGGATCCTATTGCCGCCAACCCCTGCAGCATTTGGGCCGTGATGGCGTTGTTGGGCCCAGCGGTCAGCCTTTGGAGGCCTGAGCGTTCTGCTTTCAGCACCGCGGATGTCGGGCTCAGAAACTGCCCGAGGAAGGTAAACACCGAGAAACACAACGCGTTGTAATGCCCCGCGGATTTGGCCAGACCGAGTTCCAACCCACGGACCATCTGGACGCGGCGGAAATACTTCATGACAGCAGGAGCCCAAGACGCTTCGGAACTGTCAGGTCCAAGATGCACCCCAAGATAGCGCCCATGAGGACGGAATTGAAATCCTTCACACTGGAGCCCTCGAGCAACTACCGCTGCGCGAAAATCTGCCCCCGACATCCCCAGAAGAACGATCGTAGTTTTGGCCGCGTCGATGTAAAGGCCAAGCCCAGTGCCCGCGAGGGCCCAAACAGACATGCTTTGGACGAAGGCTTCCGCCGCATCCCCAGAACTGATGCCGACATCGTCAGCGAAGGCCCCCATGCTGCTGAGGGGCCGTGGGATCAGGAGGCAGATCTTGCGTAGCACGGGACCGATGGCCAGCGCGAACAGAGATCCGCTGGCCGGGCAACCTTGTTTGATGCCACGCTGTAGCCAATGCCCCACATCAGCATGGTGGCCACGGTAGACAATGGATGTCCACACGTTCGTGTACAGGCTCTGCACCGCCCGCGCGAAAAAACTCTGGCACGCCCATCTTGCGCAATGCGCAGAAGATGGCACTATGGAGGAGGCTGGGGAAGGCTGCACGCACATCATACATGATGATCCCCGTAGTGAGAGAGCTCCTCTGCAGAAACCAGTGCAACGCCCGAAACTCGAACCCAAAGATGTTTTCATTCTGCAGCGCCACGAGCAAGCCAGGCAGTGCGGTGCGTGAAAAGCATCGCCGTGATGGATTTACGTTTGCTGGGGTGCATCTCGTCGTCATTGCGTACCTCGTCAAGGTGCTAATCAATCTGCTGCCTCTGCAAGCCTGCAAGGAACGCATGGGAGCCCACAAAGTTGGAGTAAGCGCAGGCCGTGCCATCGAAATGCTGGGCAAGCCTCGGGTACGCGTGCAAGGCGCGCCGTGACACGACTGGCTCGCGGGCCCTAACAGCACGCATAGCTGCGAGAGCCCCGGAAATACATTCGGGCAGACTCTGGGCACCACGCAGTTCCAGGCGAGCTGACACAGCTTTCGCGGCAACCTTGATCGCCTCCCGAACTTCTTCAACACGGGCAATCGGATCAGGAGTCGGCCCCCCCCGCGCCATTAAGGATGTCCTGGAGAACGGCAGGGGAGAGGGGATGCTTCGTGACCCAGGATTGAACGCGGATGCGCCCGGAGCGCCCAGCGGGTGCAAGTGAAAGGAACACGGGCACGTGGTCTGACAGCTGGCCAGTGTCGGCAGCGCACCCAATCGTGCCAGGAGATGGAGACATTTCCAGCAATTGCGCTGTCGGGATCGTGGTGTAGATCCTGTCGAGTCGGCCCAAGGATTCCACAACTTTCTTGCCATCGACATAACCCTCGACCCGATGCGAGAAGTTGGGCTGCTCAACCTCAGTCAAAAACGGAAGCGTCTGAACAGAGAACTTCCCCAGACTCACGGACGGCACTGCGACCCTTCCAGCGGTTTGACAGCTGCCTTGCCCACGAGCTGGGAAGTTGAAGTCGCCACAGACTACGGCTGTGCACTGAGCCCGAGCCTGCAAGGAGCGCCGAACGTCTTCAAACTGACACGTGTGTGCACGAACAGAAAGCCCTGGATCACTGTGTATGTTGATGATTTGTATGACATGCGAGGTATTGTAGAGAACGAGAGAATGAATACGACCATGTGCAATACCAGTGTGATGAGCGTGCTCAAAAATTTGGCGAAGACGAGGATGAACGTACATGAGGCTACCTCCTGCATGCAGGTTGTCGAGGAAGGTAGCATAGCCACACAGGAGATGGACTTCGCGCTCTAACGCTCGAGAACTCTCATATGTACCACGGGCTTCCTGAACACAGACGATGTCATGTTTCTGCGTAAGCTGCAGGGGATAGCTGATTTTGGCACGGTGAATGCGCCGCGGTACATACTGAGCCCCGAAGAGGGAACGTGCATTCCAAGAGACTATCGAGAATCGCTGTGTCGGCAAAAACGGAGTGCAGGTGGAAGGTAATTCGTCCCATCGGCCAATCGAAGAGGAGGGAGAGGATGACGATACAGTGGATCGGCAGGAACTGGTGGAAGACGAAGAGGAAGAGCAAGAAGCAGACCGCGTGGGCGAGGAAGAAGCAGGACGCTTCACAGAGGCCCGAATACGCCGAGAGCGCTTCGAGGGGGGAGAGCATGGACGATCGCCTCCAGCGGCCGCACGAAGTAGCTGAACAGCTAACCGAGCACCCACGCCACTGGCAGCACCCACATCGTCACTTTCACTCTCACGAACTGTGTCGCAAAGTGCGAGGTGTCCGTTTGGTGATGGCTGGGATGGCAAGGCAGCCTCCTGTAGGAGGATACTGTCCACAGTCTCTTGGATCTGCTGGCCAGTGAACCCTAACTTCTTGAGCGCGTCATTGTTCGGCTCGGCGTCGAGCTGAGGTGTGTCCAATCCCGAGACCTTGAAGAGCTGCTCGGATTCCTCATTGACGATGGGCCAAAGGACGCCCCGATGTGGTTGAGAGCCGAGCTGCATTCCCTGCGTCCACTTATTGGTATTCTTCGCAACATCTTTGACCTTGGTCCACAGGGTCCCGAGCAAGCGGTTGATCTTCCTGATGGCAGGAGGAGCGCCCTGGCGTACTTTGAACTGGATCTCCGCACGCGACTTCGGGTCAGTCCACGAGATGCCGATGGTGCGAGCACGAGTAATGAAGTCCCGCGCAGCCTCGATGGTAGCAAACAAGATGCTGTAGGCAGTCTGGAAGTTATGCACTTTGATCGCGGCAGGGGTTCCGTGCTGCACGTGACACTCGACTAAGGCTACTGCATGGGCATTGATCACACGGGCTAGAAGCGGACGGGGGAAGCCAGCAATCCAGACCTTGCGATTGTCGCTCGCGGGTGAGGCAGCAGAAGAACTCGAGCCAATTCCTGAAGCCGCGGAGGAACTCGCCGCCGTCGTGGTACGGGAGCGAAGCTGGGTAATCTCCTTCTCAGTGCGAGCAACCTGGTCCTTTACTTCTTTGATCTGAGCGGCAACTCGAGCATCGAGTTCATCTCGCACGGCAGCTGTCGCAATCGCCGTGCTCTGCTGTGTGCGAGCCTCCAGATCAGCCATTCTCGAGTCAAGCACGGTAATCCTCGAGGAGTGGTTAAGAAGCGTGTTCTTGACCTCGGTGACATCGTCTCGGGTCGCCATGCTCGTTCGGATCTCCCTCAGAATGCCCATCACGTCTGTGTCTAAGCCGCCGATCCTTGGTTGCTTGGTAGCGGAGCCTTCCTCGGGCGAAGCAGCAGATCCATCCACATCCATCCCCGCGGTGGCGGACATCTGCAGCGGGAAAGCCGAGAGAGTGGCCAGCCTGGTGGGGGGCTGCTGGCAGACTCCGAAAGCGCTGGCAGACTCCGAAAGGGTGGGAGTCTGCAGAGAGGCCCTGTGCCTCCAAAAGCAGCTCGAGCTCCCCGTCGGCTTGAGCCAAAATGGCTTGAGCCAAAATGGCTACGGAGGAGGAGGAGGAAAAGGAGGAGGAGGAGGAGGAGGAGGAGGAGGAGGAGGAGGAGGAGGCAGAGGAGGAGGCAGAGGAGGAGGGGGAGGAAGAGGAGGATGAGGAGGAGCGGGAGGAGGAGGAGGCGGAGGAGGAGGAGGCGGAGGAGGAAGAGGCAGAGGAGAAGGAGGAGGATGCGGAGGAGGAGGAGGAGCAGGAGGAGAAGGAGGAGGAGGAGGAGGAGGAGGAGGAGAAGGATGAGGAGGGGGAGGAGGAGGAGCAGGAGGAGGAGGAGCAGTAGCAGGATGATGATGCTGCTGATGATGATGATGATGAGGAGGAGGAGGAGGTGGAGGAGGAGGAGGAGGAGGAGGAGGAAGAGGAGGAGGAGGAAGAAGAGGAGGAGGCTGAGGAGTTGTGCCCGCCCGCTTTCAGGGAAGCTGCGCATGAACCTGCGCCAACGAGGCTGCCAGCGTCTTCTACAAGGCTGCTCTCTGAATTACAGCGACAGGGCACTTTGAGCATGTGGATTCTGTGTATGCTTGATCAAGTTCCGAGGCCACGCCTCAAAGGGAACTCTCCTATTCGTCCTCGCTCTCTCCTCGTCGCCGTACCCCCCCAGGCACGCCCTTCACGATGAGTAGCAGGCTCAGCGCAGTTGCCATCTGAAAGGCGTGCCGGATGCGATGTCTTTGCCGCACGCGGATCGTAATAGCAGTTCCTGATCACGCCGCGGAAGCTCCCAGGCACGCACCGCGACTGTTCGGGGCAGTGGTGATGTTGCGACGAAGATCGTTGCAGCCGAAACTCGCTCGCCACCTGCAGGGTGCAGCTCAGCGCGCACTTGCCTACGTAACCCGACGCCCTCCTGCTGCTCAGAAGTGCCATGGGGCTAGAAGTCAAGCGTGCAATGTGAAAACCCAATGCAACCAACAAGGCCACCACATTGAGGCCAGCCGGCACACAGCTAGTGCACAGCTGGGCGCACGCGGGCGTTGTAACATGGCAGCGAAGAAGGAAACAAAAACGCGACGACGGTGCCCGCTGTGCTAAAACAACACGGCGTTGCGGGGGCCCCATACCACCTGCGACGCTCGGCGTCTTAGCCCCAGCGGGTGGCACGCCGCCGAACTCACCGAGCAGGCGTGGCTTGGACAGCCAATCCAGCCAACTCATAATTATTCTGGTGGTAGGACACCGCACGAAAATCGATTTAGTTTGCCCCATTGCCTTTTACTTCTTCGTCAGGCGGAAGCTTCCTTCCCCCCTCCGTCCTCGTCCTCCCCCTCCTCCTTCGCCTCCTTCTCCTATCCTGTTCTTTCTCGTCCTGCTTATTGTATTTGTCATCCTCTTCCTCTTCCGCCTCCTCCGCCTCGTCCTCCGCCTCCTCCGCTTCCTCCCTCTCCTCCTCATGTTCCTCCTCCTCCTTCTCCTCCTCCTCCTCCTCGGCCTTTGCCTAGCCCCCCTCCACCTCCTTTTCGTTCTCCCCCTCCTCATCGCCGCCCCGCTCGTTTTCCTCCTGCACCTGTCCTTCATCCTGGCAGAGGCGCGCGCGTAGATTTTCCTCGGCGCCTTCGCCGCCGCGCCTGGCAGGGGCGCGTTCTCCGACGGCGAAATCGCGCAGCCGTAGGGGACAGCCCCGCGGGCCAGGCCGCTGGGACAACCCCGCGAGCCGCCGGCGCGCGAGACCGAGCCGTTGGGGCAGCCCCGCGGGCTCCGAGCGGGGCGCCGCCGCGCTCAGGCGGGGGGCGGCGCAGCTCTGCCGCGAGCTTCTCCGCCTCTGCCCTGTAGCTCTCCGCTCTGGCGTCGGACTCCAGGAGCGCCTTCCGCAAGGATGCCGGCGGCTCTCGCCCCGGGAACTCCCGCGGCGACGGCCGCAGGACCAGCGCGTTCCGCATGCGCGCGGCGCGGGAGAACGTGGCGCAGAGGTGCGGCCGCCACTGCTCGTCCGACATGCCCGCGCGACTGGCGTCCTCCCCCTTCGCGCAGCCGATGGCGACGCCCATGCGCAGCGTCTGGCCCAGCGACGGCCTGGAGGCGAGGCGCGACGCGCGCGTCGCGGTGAACCCCGAGCGGCGCGCGGCGCGCGGCCCCAAGCTCTGCGGCGTGAACTCCTGCTCGCTAGGCCTGAACGCGAGCAAGCTCCTCGCCCGCGGCTCGGCCTCGCCGTCGTCGTCGGCGCCCCGTGGCAGCACCTCGGCGACCCGCTGGTGGATCGGAGACTCCTTGAAACCGCGCGCCTGTAGGCAGATTCCCCGCGGCAGGTAGCGGGGGCGGAAAAAAAGGGCCAGCGAACACTCCTCGCGCCGCTGCTCGTCCTCGGGGTGAAACTTCGAAGGATGCCACGGCGGCCCGCTGCTCCTGCACGAGCCCCGACTTCTTCTTCAGCTTTTCCTGCGCTGCCGTGAACCGCACCTCCATGCCAACGTGGGCCGGTAAGATGCCGTGGATGTCCCCCGTCTTGTGCATGCTCGGGACGTTCAGGAGGTGCCGGTCCGCGTCGGGATCGCCCTGAATCGCGTTGCGCTCGTCCACGGCCTGCATGAAAACGAAGGGCACGCCCGGACGCCGCGCGTCGCGACGAGTGCGCGTGCTGATCCACCTCGCCAGCATCTCCCAGTAGATGCCTACGCCGTAGCCGAGCCGAAAGTTCTCGCGCTGGTGCCGAGGGTCCAGGATGCCGCGGTTGTCCGAGGCCAACGTCGTTTCCCAGGCGGACCAGAACTCTGGCGGGAGGAGCTTGCCCTCGCGCGTGCGGCCCGACAACGTGATCAGAGGGTCCCCGGGCTCGAAGCGCTTCGTGCCTTTCAGCTCGAAGACGCAGGGGATCTGAGAGACGACCTGGGCGGCGTACCGAATGTCCACCGTCGGCGGCTCCGCGTACTTGTAGGAAGCGTTGTCCAAGAGCTCGCTCACGTCTGTCAGGAGGCCGATGCTGCCCGTGGGCTTCAGCTGCAGGAAATCGCCGAAGTGCATCACGATGGACGCGCGCCCGAAGTGGTGGTGCGGCCGCTTGCACGTGGACTCCTGCATGTCGTGCGTGTCACTGTGTCCGTGGCATGCGCGAAGGGCCAGCGCGATGTACAGCGCGGTCGCCACCCGCCTGAAACTTCCTCCATATCCAGGCCTCAGGGGCCAAAAGTGACGACACTTGCAAGGTCCCGATGGTCCACCCGAATTAAAAACATGAGCGGCGGGCCCCATAGGGAGAGGGCTCCGGCATGAGACCCTCTCGCATTTCACTCACAGACGAGGCTCTCGCCTGATACTTCCTCCATGTTCAAGCCTCCAGGGCCCAAGAGTGACGACGGTTGCAAGATTCCGATGACCCACTCGGATTAGAAACATGAGCGGTGGGCCCCGTAAGGAGGGGGGGTCCCGGCTGAGGCTTCCTTGCAATTCACATATCCAGGTCCCAGGGCCCAATGGCGACGACAGTTACAGGATCCCGATGACCCGCTCGGATTCAAAACTTGAGCTGTGGGCCCCATAGGGAGAGGGCTCCCGCATGAGATTTCCTCGCATTTCACTCACAGACGAAGCTCCCGCCTGATATTTCCTCCATATTCAAGCCACAGGGGCCCAAATGTGACGACAGTTGCAAAATTCCGATGGCCCGCTCGGATTAAAAAACATGAGCGGCGGGCCCATAGGGAGGGGGCTCCCACCTGAGACCTCCGTGCAATTCGCTCACGGACGAGGCTCTGTTGGCGATGGTGTTGTGATAGTGGTGATGATGATGATGATGATGAAGAGTAATTGGGAATGAGTGAATTGGAGAATGAGAGTGTGTGCGAGTGTGTAAGTGATGTTGATGCAGTGATGATGATGATGCTGCTGCTGCTGATGATGATGATGATGATGATGATGATGATGATGATGTGAGTGTGTGAGTGTGTGAGTGAGAAGGGAGGGGGAGCTCCTGTTCCTGCGCGGGGTGTCCAGAGGAAACGAGAACCCCACTTTGGATGTGGGAAAACACAGGACACTGTCTCACTCGCTGTTGGTCGTTTCTTTAGTGGCGTCACCCGCGCTGAACGTCAGCTGTTTTTGTACCACCACGGTGCTCAGAAGACCGAGCCACTGCACAAATAACATATTTTATCTTGTGCTCTGGCCCGCGTTTGTAGCGAGAGCGCAAAGACTGTCGAAGGTCCGACTTAAAACGAAGAGACTGGGCGAACAAACTTCTCTTCACAGTCCAAGGGCCGCAACATCGTCGGCCAAACGCATGGCTTCTTCCACAGGCCGTGGCCGAGAAAAACGACGCGCTGGTATAGTTCTACGAACGGAAAGCACCATTCATTTATATGCACTTTCCAAGCCATCCTCCTCTTCAACCTCCCAGTGAACAGCCTCGCCGCTGGCCGGCCCAAGACCGACCCAAATCATTTCAAATGGGCCGGCCCAGGCGGCCGCGATGGCGAGGTCGGCAAGGCCGCTGCCAGTGGTCCCATTCCATCTCGCTTCCTTAAGACGAAGCCAGGACGAAGATAAATCCGGGTGACATTAACTCGAGGATCTCTGAGATTTGGCGGCTCTGCAGGATGTATCGGGCGTCGCGGCCTTCTCAGAGCGTCCCAAGACCACTCCAGCATCGGACCGGACTTCGCACGCACAATTGAAACATGGGAGGACGCGGCTCACTGGCTAAGCAGCGTCAGAGGAGGAGGAGGAGGAGGAGGAGGAGGAGGAGGAGGAGGAGGGGCAAGGGAACAACGGGTGCCATGTCTCTCCACGCCACCAGATTCAGAACTGGAGCGGCTGCCTCTTGCAAGCTGCCTGGGGAGTCTCGGGGCCATCTTGGACAGTCCCTGGCCCGCCGACCGCACTTCGGCCGAGAATGCTGCGTTCCAGAATGCTCTGGGAGCGGCCCAGAACGCCCTGGAACGGATTCGTCCTCGTACCAGCCCCGCGTCGAACAGGCGGTGGTTGAGTATAAATCGGCGGCCAGCGAGGGAAGGAAGTGAGAAAGAGAAGGCCCTCCCAAAAGGCTGAGAAATCCTCCGGCCTCCTGAAACATTTTCTGAGCCTTCCCCGAAAAAACAAAAGAACTTCTCGGAAGGCGCGAGCGCTTCTGAGAAGCTCCGCCGCCTTCTGAGAAGGCCTTCTTATTCTCACTTCCCCCTCTCGCTCGCCGCCGAATGAATTCCCGCCTCGAATCCTCCCCCTCCTCCTCCGTCGCGGGAGGTGCAGGCTGCGCCCCCGCCGCGTGCCCAAATCTGGTGGCGTCGCGCGGGGGGACTCCCCCCCCCCCGGAGCACTCGAGAGCTCCCGAGGGACTTCGACAACCTCCGAAGGGCAAGCTCCGCGCGCCCCGCGGCGCGAAAGCGCAAGCGCGCGCGGTCTCAGTAGCCCAGCAGGGGCCCGGACCCCCACAGGTGCACCGGGGTGTTGTGCACGTAGTACCAAATCGCCCTGCCGATGATCCCGTACCGCTCCTCAGACATCTTCGAGACCTCAATGATCTCTTTCTGGATGGCCGCCAGCTGCCCCCAAAGCCCAACCACGCCAGAGCCGTCCTCTGAGCAGGGACCGACAGCCCAGGCATTTCTATAGGCCTACCACGACATGTTTTTAGAACAAGAAAACGTTCGGGCCACAAGAAAACAAATATTCTTATAATGAAAGACCGATTGGTTAAAATAGGACTGTCTGGGCCAGAGCTGTTCCAAGAACATCTCGTGCAAACCACAACAAAATGTCCTTGGAACACTGCTTGGTGGGCCCACAGGTGCGCCAGGACGCTTTGCCACTGCTCGAGTCCTCCGCGGTGGAGGCGAGCACGAAGACGGCGTCGCTGGGGCCCAGCGACAGCACGACCATGCCTGCACCCCACGGCCAGTGCGCGTCTGGCAGCGGCCGCTGGGGACCACAGAGGGCCTGGAGCTCCGGATTCCCGCTCACCTGCGGGGGCCACTCGTGGGAGCCTCCCATGCCATCTTGCTGGCTCCCGCGAATCGACGCCAGCCGACGCTGGTAGACGCTGGTCGACTCTAGTCGACGCTAGATCGACGGTAAATCGACGCCACATCGGCGCTTTTTCTCGTCGGTTACCAGACGCTAGCGCCAATGCGCTCTAGAGACGGAACTGCGAGGATACACGAGACTCCACTGGTTTTTTACCGAACTCACCTGTCCCTCGGTCATCTCGATCATCCGGGACACGATGAACCCCTGCTCCTCGGCTGGGTAGCACTGCTTCGGGAGCGGATCGAGGCCCCTGATGAACGTGCAGTCCCCGATCGAGAACACCCGCGCGTGCCCGTGCTCGTCCACGCACCAGGGCGATAGCGCTCCGTCGTCCGCCCGGGTCTCGACCTGCAGCTTCCGGTTCACCCGCACCCACCCGAGGCCGTGCCTCTGGTGCATCTCGCCGGCCACCGTGAGGCAGCCCGGCGGCAGAAAGGTGACCGAGGCCTGCACGCCCGTGCACGCGTACACTGCGCTCGGGTCGGTCCTCGCGCCGATCTTCCGGAGCGTGTCGGGGTCCGCGGGGTCGTACTGCGCGCCCGTGATGGTCTGGAGGTTTGGGGTCCTGTCCAGAGCGGCCCTGGCATAATCGACCGCCTTCTTGGGCCAGCGGCACAGGATCTGGTCTGGGCGGTTCACGATCGTGACCCCGATGTTGTCGAAGACCGACTTGATCTCCAGGGCCCACTCAACGCCGATGAACCCTGCCCCTACCACCAAAACGTTCCCTTTGTCCTCTTCGAGCTTCTTCAGCTTCTCGTACTCTTCTTCAATGTGTGCTCGGCGCCCCTGGATGGTTCGTTCGTCGATGTGCTTCCACGCAGAGTTCCTCTGATGGCTGTTCAGCACAGTGGGGAACCACAGGGACTGGCCCCTGGATTTCTCCATCTTGTTGTAGCAGCAGCCCGCAGCGATGACGCAGTAGTCGAACTTCAAGACCGTCACCTCCTTTGCCTTTCTCGCCGGGTACGCGGTGAGGTTGCCAGAGCGCCATCGCCTTGCCTCATTGCCGACGTACTCTGTGAGGCGGTACATGGCCACCTCTCGCCTCTCCGGGTCTATGCCAATGACCTCTCCCCACATGAAAGAGCACCCCATCTCCCCTTCGAGGATCGGCCGGAGCTCGAAGACGACGTTGTCGAAGTGGGAGGGGTCCACGAACGAGCGCAGGATCCCTGGCCCGTACTGGAAGTAGTTCTTGCAGTCGCACACGGTCACGCGGAAGCGGTCCTTGAGGTCCCTGGCGGCCTTCATGCCGCCGAAGCCGGCCCCGATGATGATAACATGGGGCCTCACGTCGGTGGGGCCCCACTCCAGCGGGACCGGAGCCGCCCACGAGCCCTCCTCCCCGTCGTCAGAGCTGGCGGTACCCTCCGCGCTCTCCGGGATGCTGGGCGCCCAGCTGCTCATGACGCTGAACCGCGGAATGGGCACCTTCGCGCCTGGGTGGAGGTCATCGGCGGCGCTGGTGTCTCCGGAGTTCGCCGGAGGCCTTGAGCAGCCCGAGCTGCTGATTTCTGAACACCTCCCCGAGCCCGGCCGGGCGCCCTGAGAGCTATTTGTCGCAGGCGCCCCAGAGGGCAGCGCGGCGTCGGTGGCGGTCTGCTGCAAGTCTCGCTCTCGCAGCACCTCGAAAACCGGCTCGGTCGCAGCGTGAGTGCCTGCCTGGGAGCTCGCGCAGCAACCCATCACGCCTTCGGCGACACCTTCGGCGGGCGTGTGCAAACGCCACCACCAGAAGACTGAATCTTTCTGGGGATCTGCCGCAAACCTGCCGTCTTGAGCCGCCGTTGGCTATTCAGTGGACGAGCGCGGCCCACCTGGCAGCATGCTGTCTTACACCCAGGCTTGTCTGACCTTGCCCTGTCCATGGGACCGCGCGGACACTCGTGGCACGATTTTCGGCGCTGTGATAGGGTCGTCCCTCCAGATGAAGGCTCCAGACTAAGGGCAATCCTGCCCCGGGGTTGTGACCTGGGGGAAAAAAGGTGCTTTGTTTAGATTGTCCGTGTTGGCCCGATATGTTTCCAATCTGGCGCGGTAGGCGGAGATGAGAAAAATATGAACTCGGCGCGACCCTAAAATAGGGGAAACCTGACCTGACAAGAACAGGAAGCGTATGTTCGAACGTTCGTTGCAGGTGTGGCATCACATGGGGACGTCAAAACTGGAACGCTTGTGCGAACAGGAGGGGACTGCGCGGTGCCCGAATCAAGGATCCCTCGTAAAATATACGACGCTCGCGCTTCCGAGGCGCAGAGCCCTCGTAAAATACACACGATACGCGCCTCGAGGCCACGACCCATTGCAAATTACTCTGGGTTCATGCCTCGGCGACCAGGACCCACAGAAGTGCAGCCAAATTCACGCCCTGGAACCGCTATTACTTGTATTGTGCGCAAGCGGTCAGTTACCACGCGGCCCCCGCGTCCACCTTCAAGATCCCGAGCTATCCGCCGTCCCCTTGCGGTCCACTCGGCGTGTGAGACTGGTGCCTCTCGCCAGACTCCTCCCCCGGGCACTCGGTCCGGCCGGCTTGCAAGGGGGGGATCCGGTTAAACGGACTAGATCCCTCACCCCTCCCAGGAATGCTCAGGATGCCTCCGGCCGTCTCCGGCCACTCCAAGATGCTCCAAGACGGCCCATTATACTTTGAATACGACCGGAGATAACCCCAAGACGGTCCAAGAGGCCTGTAACATGAAGCCCTCTTGGATCCCTCTGGCGCCGTTTTCGGGCCCTCTTGAGCTGTCTTGGGGCTGTGTAGCCCAAATTCGGGATAGTAAGATGGAATATCGAAGACGCCTACGGCGAATCACCGCCGCCCCCTGCGTTTTTGGAAGCGCCTATGTGGCCGAACGTTGAGGCCAGACCTGCCAAGCTATCGGACCACGTGTTCCCCGAATCGGTTTGGAAAGCCTTCGGGGAACACGTGGGCATCTTGAAGGTCATCTTGGCCGTCTTGGAGGCCTCTTGGGCAAGCTTTGGGCGATCTTTGGGGCTTTTTGGGCCGTCTCGGGCCAGCTTCGAGCCAACTTCGGCCATCTTGGTGGGTTCCTGGCACGTCTGAAGCCGTCGGAAGCCGTTTGGGGGGCCTCTATGGGCCGACTTGGGGCCCGCTTGGAATGCTCCAGGGCCGTCTTGGAGGCCATCTTGGGCGTCTGGGAGGCCATCTTGGGCGTGTTGGAGGCCTCTTGGGCCCTCTTGGGGCCCTCTAGGGGCCATCTTGGAGGCCACTTGGGCCATCATGGGGCTCTCTTGGGGGCCTCTTGGGCGATCTTGGGGGCTTCTTGGGCCGTCTCGAGCCGTCGGAGAGCCGAAAAGGCGCAAATGCCAGAATCCTTCAAAAACCAAGGAAAAATCAATGATTTTGGCCTCTTCGGACTCTCCTGGAGGACCTCTTGGAGGCCTCTTGGGCCGTCTGGGAGGCCTCTGGGGGGCCTCTTGGGCCGTCTTGGGCCGTCTTGGACTCTCTTGGGCCGTTTTGGAGGCCGTCTTGGACCATCTCGGGCGGACTTGGAGGCCATCTTGGGCCATCTTCGCGATTTTTTGAGGATGTCCCGAGCGAAACGGCCGTTTTTTGGAGGATTTGTTTCCGGATTGAGGTCCTTTCGGCTTCCTCCCGGGACCCCGGCGGGACGGGCCGGAGCCCACTGGAGAGTTCTTTTAGAAAAAGAACCAAAACCAAAACCAGCTCATCCAGCACGCCGTGCACCCCTGCAAGCAGGGGGCGGCGGATCGAAGACGCCTACGGCGAATCACCGCCGCCCCCTGCCTTTGTGGAAGCGCCTATGTGGCCGAACGTTGAGGCCAGACCTGCCAAGCCATCGGACCATGTGTTCCCCGAATCGGTTTGGAAAGCCTTCGGGGAACACGTGGGCGTCTTGATGGTCATCGTCGCCGTCTTGGAGGCCTCTTGGGCGATCTTTCGGCGATCTTTGGGGGCTCTTGGGCCGTCTCGGGCCGTCGGAAGGCCGAAAGAAGGGAAATGCCCAAATCCATCAAAAACCTTGGGAAAATCAGTGATTTTGGCATCTTTTGGCCTTCCTGGAGGCCCTCTTGGGGGCCTCTTGGGCCCTTTTGGGCCAGCTTCGAGCCAACTTCGGCCATCTTGGTGGGTTCCTGGCACGTCTGACGCCGTCGGGAGCCGTTTTGGGGGCCTTCTGGGCCAACGGGGGACCCTCTTGGGGCGCTCCAGGGCCGTCTTGGAGGCCATCTTGGGCGTCTTGGAGGCCATCTTGGGCGTGTTGGAGGCCTCTTGGGCCGTCTTGGGGCCCTCTAGGGGCCATCTTGGAGGCCACTTGGGCCATCAGGGGGCTCTCTTGGGGGCCTCTTGGGCGATCTTGGGGGCTTCTTGGGCCGTCTTGAGCCGTCGGAGAGCCGAAAAGGCGCAAATGCCAAAATCCTTCAAAAACCAAAGGAAAATCAATGATTTTGGCCTCTTCGGACTCTCCTGGAGGACCTCTTGGAGGCCTCTTGGGCCGTCTGGGAGGCCTCTGGGGGGCCTCTTGGGCCGTCTTGGGCCGTCTTGGACTCTCTTGGGCCGTTTTGGAGGCCGTCTTGGACCATCTCGGGCGGACTTGGAGGCCATCTTGGGCCATCTTCGCGATTTTTTGAGGATGTCCCGAGCGAAACGGCCGTTTTTGCGCACGGTGGCGGGTTCTGCCGGAGCCCACTGGGGAGTTCTTTTGGAAAAAGAACCAAAACCAAAACCTAACAGCTCGTCCAGCACGCCATGCACCCCTGCAAGCAGGGGGCGGCGGATCGAAGACGCCTACGGCGAATCACCGCCGCCCCCTGCCTTTGTGGAAGCGCCTATGTGGCCGAACGTTGAGGCCAGACCTGCCAAGCCATCGGACCATGTGTTCCCCGAATCGGTTTGGAAAGCCTTCGGGGAACACGTGGGCGTCTTGATGGTCATCGTCGTCGTCTTGGAGGCCTCTTGGGCGATCTTTCGGCGATCTTTGGGGGCTCTTGGGCCGTCTCGGGCCGTCGGAAGGCCGAAAGAAGGGAAATGCCCAAATCCATCAAAAACCTTGGGAAAATCAGTGATTTTGGCATCTTTTGGCCTTCCTGGAGGCCCTCTTGGGGGCCTCTTGGGCCCTTTTGGGCCAGCTTCGAGCCAACTTCGGCCATCTTGGTGGGTTCCTGGCACGTCTGACGCCGTCGGGAGCCGTTTGGGGGCCTTTCTGGGCCAACGGGGGACCCTCTTGGGGCGCTCCAGGGCCGTCTTGGAGGCCATCTTGGGCGTCTTGGAGGCCATCTTGGGCGTGTTGGAGGCCTCTTGGGCCGTCTTGGGGCCCTCTAGGGGCCATCTTGGAGGCCACTTGGGCCATCAGGGGGCTCTCTTGGGGGCCTCTTGGGCGATCTTGGGGGCTTCTTGGGCCGTCTTGAGCCGTCGGAGAGCCGAAAAGGCGCAAATGCCAAAATCCTTCAAAAACCAATGGAAAATCAATGATTTTGGCCTCTTCGGACTCTCCTGGAGGACCTCTTGGAGGCCTCTTGGGCCGTCTGGGAGGCCTCTGGGGGGCCTCTTGGGCCGTCTTGGGCCGTCTTGGACTCTCTTGGGCCGTTTTGGAGGCCGTCTTGGACCATCTCGGGCGGACTTGGAGGCCATCTTGGGCCATCTTCGCGATTTTTTGAGGATGTCCCGAGCGAAACGGCCGTTTTTGCGCACGGTGGCGGGTTCTGCCGGAGCCCACTGGGGAGTTCTTTTGGAAAAAGAACCAAAACCAAAACCTAACAGCTCGTCCAGCACGCCGTGCACCCCTGCAAGCAGGGGGCGGCGGATCTAGTGACCTTCGGTCCATCCCGCCACCGTGCCAGGGTATTGAGAATGAGACGAATTGAAAGTTCGTTGGGCTCTCTTGGGAGGCTTCTCGCGGGCCGTTTGGGGCCCTCTTGGGGCCTCTTGTGGGCCTCTTGGGGGCCTTTTGGGTCGTCTTGGGGGCCTCTCGGGGGCCTCTTGGGACCTCTTGGGCGCCTCCTGGGGCCTCCTAGGGCCGTCTTTGGGCGGGATGCTCCGATTTTCGATTCGGGCTCTCCCTCTTGGGCCTCTCTTGGGGCCCTCGTGGGCCTTCTTGGGAGCCTCTTGGGCCGTCTTGGCGCTCTCTTCGGCCGTCTTGGGCGCCTCGGTCTTGGGGAACTCTTGGGACCGTCTTCGGCGCCGTGAAGACGAGAAAATCGTATATGATAGAAATATACGTTTTCCCATCGGAATTTGACGATTTTGGCCTCGTGGGCCCTCTTAGGAGTGCTCTTGGAGGCCTCTGGGGCCGTCATGCGGGCCCTCTGGAGCCGTCCTGTGGCCTTCTAGGGACCCTCTTGGGCGCTTCAAGAGCGATCTGAACACAAAGGCGGCCTGGAGCCAACGCCAACTCCATTTTCTAGAGGATGTCACGAGCGAAACGGCCAATTTAGAAACCTTTCTTGACATGAACGGGAAGCGCGTGAAGTCAAAGAGCTTGGCAAGAACGTGCACGAACATCAAATTCGCGTGTCGCGTAGGCGCTCTTCCCAAATGTCCACAGGGGGTACCAAGTGGACTGCGCTATCCGCGCCAATTCAGACGTGCCGCTGACCCCGAACGTCCGCAAAAAGAACCAGATGGAGTTCACGATCCGCGCAAATTCCGACGTGCCGCTCGCCCCGACCGTCCACAAAAAATACCAAATGGAATTCACAATCCGCACAACTTCAGTCACCGCTCACCGCGTACGTCCACAACAGATACCAGGTAGAGTTCACAACCCGCGCGAGTTTAGACGTCGCTCTTACCCCGAACGCCCACAAAAGA